CGATTGACTATGTCTTCAAGCATACCTACTTGGCACCAATCATGCAGGACAGATATCCTTTCAAGCTCAACCGATCTGTTGCTGAGGTGGGAAGATCCTCGAGCTGGTAGCATTTCTCAATCTGCTGCTCAGTTTTACTCGTGTAAGAAGGCCGTCGTGCAATATTCAGAGAAGATCATCAACGAGAGAACGGCAGAGCTGAAAGCAGGAGCTACTCCTAAGACCAACGTTCTCGACAAGTTGCTCAACATGCACAAGGGAGATCTAACCTGGAATCTTGTCACGTGAGAAGAAGGTTTTGTACAATCTTGGCCGTACAGATGACTCAGGTTTATACTCGCTGGCAGCGCCTCGGCCTCGGCTACGATGGAGTGGTTCGTCTATTTGATGTGCGCAAATAAAAATATCCAGCGTGCAGCTAGGGCGGAGGTTGATGCACTTGGGAGAGATCCGGAGACAGCTGAGGATCTCCGTAAACTCACTTTTGTCGAGGCATGTGTCCTCGAGACTCTACGTGTAAGTTTTGCTTGTGATGACCGCTTGAATTAGTAGCTGAGTAATAGGTAAAGGGATGCTGATTCAGGTACAGAGCTCGACGCCGGGTCCACTCCCGTCGATTACCACCGCGCCATATTCAATTGAAGGCAGGCCTGTTGAAGTGGGTACGATTATTATCATGATGATGGATGAAGCTATGAAGAGTGAAGAGAGAGGGGGGAATTCATTCAGGTAACGCTGCCGCAAGGGATTATCGTAGCGCTAGAAATATCGCGGAATTGCACCGTCATCACTTGCTGCTGTTCTCAGGCCGGAAAACTGGTTCTTGCCCGGTACCACAGAGATTAACCGTGACCTTGCTCGAGACCATTGGGCCTTCAGCTGTGGACCTCGCAAATGCCCTGGCCAGACTCTGGCCGTCAAGGAGTGCACTATCATAGCCGCCTTCCTCTTGAGACATTTTGATGATATACGTTTCACTCTTGGTTATGATGACGTTAAGGAGACTATGTGGCTCAACCGTGTACCAGAGAACTTGAGAGTCACCATGTCCCTTAGGAATTACTGAGGAGGACTGCCTAGTCCTACTGGTAGTACAGCTATTGCTACTACTTTTACAACTAGCGCTACAACTAGCGAGACGTCAGATGTATGTTAAGAGACTTCACATCGGGCCATACGTCTAATACTATGTCTTGCAGCAGCAGCAGCAGCAAGCTTAAAGCACTACGCTTCTTTCCACTCAACGCGAACCAGATATCATCTCAATCATTCTGAAGTACTGGCTCGGTCAATGGCTTTGCCGTTTTCTTTCCATACACGGAGGTCACCGGGTGTTGTGTTGTTAGTGTCAAGAGCAAGGGTGGTAGGTGGTATGGCAGACCGTCTGGG